ATCAATATATTTCTAGATGCAGCGGTATTACTTTGACTTCGATGTCCACAATGTACCCATGAGTCCCCGTTTTGGCTTCCTCTGTGTGTGTGTATTTATATATGTATATACGTATATGTGTGTGTATATATATTACGGTGTCATTTAGCGCATATATATATATATATATATATATATAGAGAGAGAGAGAGAGAGAGAGAGAGAGAGAGAGAACTATAGGCGCTGCGTTCAAATTGACATATGTGGAATCAATAATTAGTTGAGTGCATTATCCAGCTTTCATTAATTTTATTGACTTCAGTGTTTTTATCCACTTTGGGATCAGTAATTATTTTTCGTTACAAATTTATTCAGAGTTTGCTGAGCAATCTGGACTTTAGACTTTACTTACATTACTTGTGTTTTCCATACGTAATTTTCTACCATATTTATGCATGGGAATCATACGTCACCTTTTATGATAAGTTGATTCGTCCAATATATATACATGCATATGGAATAGTATGTATACAATATACATGAAGGATAGGGTTAACCATTAATTTGTGGGCGATCAGTACTCTGATCGTATTGACAACATATAGTACATATTCTAAACTACCACAACAGCATTTGATGCGTCCAAGTCAGGACAAGATTATATATATATATATATATATATATATATGTGGATAAATACACATCAGATAAACTGAAACCCCGTACTTTTTAAGTCATTAAGGAACCAATCATTATGACAACCTTATATTACATGCTTTTTACTTGATTAATTACAATGGAATTTTTAAGGTAGCTTCTGATCATTGCTTGTGCTCCCGGGATGTCTTCTTCGAGGATAACGATAAAATTTGTGCTACGAGCAGTTGAACAGAAAGTTGGTGAAGTGTAGTTGGCTTCACTCCTACAGACTAAATAAGGCAGATATACATAATATATATATACACACACACAGCACTTCCCCTTTAAGTTGCATGGGTAAATAGGATTATTCAACTTCAGTATTGCTCAATATTAACCCTTTGCTATAATTAATGGATTTAGATATAACACTACCAATAATCACCCAGCTGGACGATATCTCATGCCTAATCTCATTTCACACTCAAGATAGGACCGTACACCATGAACAAGACTTAGACTGGGTTAACATCTCTGCTCCAGATCAATATGATGATCAGCCGCCACCGAGATTGGTGAACAATGGCGGAGATATTAGGAATGTCCGAGGCAAAAACAAAGGAAAAAATAGCATAACAAGGAAGACTACAACTCCAAGGATTGCATTTCACACTAGGAGTGCGGATGATATTCTGGATGATGGGTATAGATGGCGAAAATATGGTCAGAAGTTTGTAAAGAATAGTGTCCAACCCAGGTAGACATATTAGTATTTTGTGCAGCTGATTTCATTTCCAATGCAAAAATATGTTGTTGTTTGATTTCTTTAACTTTCAAGAACCTAGCCATCTTTCTCAATTTATTCTCTTACTTTAGATTAAAAAAAAAAGGAAGAAAAATAAGATTGGTGGTAATTAATCTCAATCTTTTTTGTTTCAAAATTACTAAAAATTAATGGTGGTAATCGAAACTTAGTATAAATAGTTAAAAAAATTACTCAATCTTACTGGTGCACCACCATTGACAGCCTCCTCCCCAGTGGATCTGCATTTTTCCCCTCTTTGGCAGCGCGCAACTCCAGCTTCCTCTTTCTTCTCTATAGCTAGTAAATACATATATATACTGGTGTTTTCTTTTCGAAATACCTCTGCAGTGCTTTTTCTTTTTTCGAAGTGCATACCTTGTTTTTTTCGACATAGATCTGTTATGTTTTGATGTAACTACATACGTTGTTACATATAAAATATACATTAAGATATTTTGTATTATACTTATAAATTTATATCTATATATAATTTATATATATAACAAATTAGTATAATATTTTATGTATTATATTATATCTATATAATATCCATAAAACAACTATTTTAGCCAAATAGTTCACTTCTGCATTTGATTTATTCTTTCTTTATTGTTTTAACAATTTCAATATTAATAGTCATTTTCAATAAAGGCACTATTTCAATTTTTATAATAATATTACTTTTAACAGTTATTTTTAAAAAATATTAAATAATTTTTCAGTAAAGATATTTTTAATTAACAACTATTTTAACAGTATTTTTAAAATTCACATCATAAATTACAACTACATCAAATGCTCACTAATCTCAATTTAAATTCATAAAAACTAATTTTATATTATACCTTCGTCTAACTAAATATTATCGACATGTTAAGTTTTTGTCTATCTTAAGTCCAACACAATATCTTGTTTACGTAAAAAAAAAAAAAATAAATCTGTTTAAAGTGATTTAAAGAAACTTTCTTATAGCGTTTTTGACATATCAAGATATAGAAAAGAAGATTTTAACAGTCATTTTAAAAGATAGAGTGCTTTGATGATAGTGGTGGGAAGAGGAATTTAGGTTTCTTTGTCAGTCTCTCTTTTGGTTGAATAAGAGAATGGAATAGTAGAAAAGGAAAGAGATGTTATGGGTTATTGGAGAGCTTGATTTAGGGAAAAGGACAAATAAAGATGAAGGATGATTGTAGAAGAACATGAGAAGGTTTCAATCATTTTTCTTCTTTGAGTAAGGTTAGTAAAATAGATGTTGTAAGCGATCAAATATTATCTCCTCTTAGCTTTTTCATTTAGATGCCTAGTAGGCATATTATCTTCTGTTTTTCATGGCTGAAGACTCTTACTCTCTCTTTCTCTCATATACTAAATTGCAACCAAAAAAAATAATTTAGAATTAGAATATAGTATAATTTAAAATTCAGTGACTAAATTAGAAGTTTGTGATCATTTTTATTATTTTACGTTGTACCTGATATAACAAGACTAAATTTTTTCATTTAGTCTTTTTTTTTTTTTGCAAACTTGTTTAGCACATTTCATGTTGCTTTGCAAACTTGTTATTTTATACAAGAAGATACGGTAAATGTTGATCTTGATGGCTTATTTTATTGTGTGATTTTAGATGTGATGTAATTATTCTAAGTTTAAGATGCCAATTTGATCACCGGCTCCAAAAGTTTATTTCTATTCATTTTGTATTATAATTAATATATATGATCTTATAATGACACATGTTAATGCTTCAACATATTTATTTTTACTTTGTAAAAGATTTACAATTTATTCCAATCTATTGGAATTGGGCTGCAATTGCAAAATCAGTTCTTTTCAGTAGTAAAATTCTGTAAATTTGGTAATCTTTCAGCAAAATACTTAAGGATCAAAATGAGAATGAAAATGTGAAAATTGAAGAGTGCATAACAACCGTTGAGATATATTTTTAATGTTCTCTCTTTAAAGAAAAAACACTCTATATAAATGCACTAAAATTCAACTTCCACAGTTAAGAGTCCTTTACTATTTTTTTTTTGGGGAAAACAAACCTTCTTTTTCTTTCTTTTTTTTTTTTTTTTTTTTTTTTTTTTTTTTTTTTTCCCTTTGGAACACTTGGGCAAAAAAAAAAAATTAGGAAGCGGGGCAAAATTCAAAAAAATTCAAAAACAGGGCTTTATCCAAGGGTCCAACTCCAACTAAAATTAAAAAAAACTTATTGGATTCGTATCATTTGCCCAACTTACCCCAATTTCTTTCCACGGAAAAGGGAATTTTGTTTCCCCATATTTTCCCGGGAACAAAATAAATTCATCATAAATGACTAAATAATTTTTTTATTTATATAGGAAGGAGCTACTACCGCTGCTCATACCACACATGCAGCGTGAAAAAACAAATTCAAAGGCTCCCCAAGGATCCAAGCATATTTGTGACAACATACCAAGGCACTCACAATCATCCTTGTGAGAAACTGATGGAGACTTTAGGCCCGCTTCTTAGGCAACTCCAGTTCCTCTCCCAAGTCTCGACCTGCACAGCATGTCTTCCACATACTAAAAGACAAATCAAAGGACAGAAGAACACTTTGTTCAATTTGTAATTTATTATTCTATTCCCTGCGTGCCAGCAGATTCGACTCTGGCTAATCAATTACAATAACCTCGATAGTTTCAGAAAAGACTAAATAATTCTTAAAGATCATGTATAATGCGATTAAGTTTCAGTCTTTCAGAGGTAAAACCTCTAACTTTGTCTCCTGTTCTGTTTTCTTTCTGACAAAACCTTAATATACTATATAGGAAAAACATGCTATTATACAATGAATAATATAATCAAAACTCAACATAATAAACAATGAATAATGCCTCAAACCCTACATTGAATCTCACTCCAGTCAAACCTTGCAACACGAATTAGAATTAGAAGTGTTCAAGCCACCACCAACCTCTTCCCATCATTCTAGAAACGACATCAGCAGCAGCAATGTTAAGATCCTGATAAGGAACTAAAGGACAAGACAACATGTCGATTGGAAACAACTTTCCATCCAGAAGAGAGCACTCTTCTTCTTGAGACAACAGCAAAGGAGAACTTACACCTCTTCAACTTGAAATATTTTACAAAAACCCACTGACGGAATGCAAAGTGCTTATAACTGGAAAGTGCCTAACTCATGGCCATTTCTTTCGAGAAGTACTTTTCTCTCATTAACCCATTCCAACCGATAAGACAGGTCCAGGTTATGAATCAACTGCCTCAGCCGGTCCATATGACTCAAATTCTTAATATTCTCCTACAAATATGAATGCAATAAATTCAGAAAGCCTAGAGTATGCTGTTTAGATAGTTAAACCTCCAATGAAGCCTGTGCATGAACATTTCAATTGACAACTTGGTCCTCTTGAAGTAAGAAGTACCGGATTTAGCACAAAAGCAGAAAATCAACAGAAACTACTGCATATACATATTCTAGCAATATAGCGAGAAATGACACTAATGATGATGAAGTTGATTATAATGATGATGGCACCATGCATGGAGCATAGTATTTAGCAACATACAGCCATGAACATGTTCTCACTTCTCAGACTAAAACAATATACTACTGACTCTTTCTTGTGAGTGTACATCATGATTTGACATGAATCCTTCACACAAGGGAATCAAGCTAAAATACCAAAGAGGAAAATATGATTTTTGAGTCAATAAAATTACTGCCATATCAAACAAAGGAAATTACCAGGAATTTGGCCTCTCTTTCTAGCCCCATTACGGTTGCCATCACACTAGACCTAGAAGAAGTAGGTGACAATCCCTCCCACGGAGGAACAAATATCACTTTGGTGCACTGAACAGGAACAAAATTTCGGCTCAGTTTCTCCCACCAAACAGACCCCAGGGACCACCACCTGATCATCAAGCCATGCTCTGAGAAAGCGACCAGTCCCTGAATTTATAGAATGTTTTCATAAATTTCAAATGATTATAGGAAAACATGCTTTAACGAAGTGAACATTCATCAAGCCAAACAACCAAATAGTTTAAGAGGATCCAACCTTTTCATCATTCTCTTCATAGAGGTAACAGGGAGAAACATGATTTCGAAAGTTTAGAAAAAGAGTTCATTAAGATTTAAATATCAGATCTGACATTATATTGAATACATAGGGCCATCTTGAGAATAAAGAAGTAGAGTTAGAGAGAGTATCACCGGTAAGGTACAGACACCATTATGAGGTCACTGCAAAGATCGCTAAAATGTTCAGCATAAAGTGCATGCGACAAGCACAAAAATCAGACATACTATAGAGACACCAAATAGTCAAATTTCACAAACGGAGGAATCAGTAGTGAACAATGAGAAAACTAAAAATCATAAGGAGAACGAAAAAATCAAAATTTCCCAGCTCTTAGCGACTCCTACTTCCAAGAGACATTTATATAACAACTCAAGAACACTTGTCATACAATCGGTATCTGATATTGTTAAAGAAGGAAAAAAAACATTGTATTAAAAAAATAAATAAATCAAGGTGTTAAAGTGAAAATAAATTAGGATGTTTGAGAAAAAATAAATCAGAGTGTGAAAGAAAAAACAAATTGATTTAAAATATAAAATCATACTATTTATAATTAATTGTATTAATTATTTATTTCTTTTTTTAACTATTGACAGCTTGAGAAAGAAAGGTCAGTTGCTGATTAACAGATGTTGCATGTGCAAAGAGCAAGAGGAATCTTGCTGCCACCTGCTGCTGTTTTGTCCGGCTGTCCAATTTTTGTGGTCAATGATCTATGGCCTCCTGGGTGTGTATTGGGTTAGGGCTGGGTCGATTACAAAAGAGATTTGGGCGTGGGATGGAATGGGCAGAAAAGAGAAACATGTTGATTTAATCCCTATGACTATTTTTTGGGTTACTTAAAAAGAGAGAAATAGGAGAGCCTTTGAAGTATTGAAAGTGGCACTGTTAAGATTAAAGATAGGTGGTTCCATTTGTTTCGGTTTTTATTGATGGGGCATGACTTGTATAAGATGGAAGATTTTGGATATATGATTGATTGTCTTTCTAACATATAAATTCTTTTGTAAATAAGTTGCACCCACTTAGTGTACTCTTAATATTATTCATACTTTTTTATTTCAAAAAACAAAAAGGAACAGAATAGCGAAATACAAAAACAATAACTTTTTAACCACCACCAAAACTTTTTTTTTCTAAAACGACGTCCTAAAACAATATTGAGGTGAAGTCATCCTTAGTGCCACTTACATTATTAATTATCTGTCCACAAGTATTCTTAACTTCAAAAACACTCTTGAAACACTTCAACAGTTATACCCAACAATAGGTGTCACAAACCATCTAGTCCCTCAGATACTTAAGTGTGTTATCTTTGTTTATATTCATTCCCATCAAAGAGGAAAATTGGATCCCCAGGTTCTGAAATATATACTTCTAAGGTACTCTTTCACTTAAAAATGGTATAAATATTATCATCTAACCAACAAAAATTCTATATGCCAGGAGACATCATATTTGTTGAATAAGAATTCTACTTTACCAACTTTATTTTTAGGAAAAACCTACATTAGAATATAAGTATACAAAATCTTCAATAGACTTAAACTTACCATCTTCACCACACACCTGAAAACTATCACCACATGAGAACGTTCAAAACCCACTCGAAAGTTCATCACCACAAGAAAACTTTCAAAATTTATTTCAAAAGATCCTACTAGACCCTAAATTTTCTCAGGTGAATGAGGAAGAAGATGTTGAGTATTGAGCCAAAGTCGATCTAAGAATCTAACATTAATATTGAAACTAAAGGAAGTCTCGAAAAACTTATATGGTCCTCTAATAATAATATACTGATTGCACTTCGTAAAAGCACAAAAGAATCTACTAAACATCATCTTTATCCGATCTCACAATTTGTGTAATTTGATAAGTGTTCATCAATCCATAAAATTTTTCTCACAAGTTTAAATAGTGAGTATATCCCTAAATATCATTTATATCCTATCTCATAATTTATGTCATTTGATAAGTGTTCATCAATTCATATAAATTTTTTCACAATTTTAAATAATGAGTATATATCTAATACAATATCTGAGACATTATCCTTAAAAAATAGAAAAATACTATAAATGTAGAAATGCAGACACTTGAAAAGAATCAGAATTGGGAAATAGTGGATCTACCAAAAAACAATAAATCTGCGACATGTAAATAGGTTTTTTCAATCAAATATAAAGCAAATAGAACAATCATAAATATAATTTATCAAATGACTAGTGGTAAAAGGTTATACACAAACATAGGAAATAGACTACAAGGAAACATTTGCACCAGTAGTCAAGATGAATGTTGTGCAAACCATGTTGTCATTAAATGTTCACTTTGACTGATAATTATTTTCTTAAAAAAAATGTAAATAGTATATTAGCATGGTACCAAAAAAGGGGGTACCAACTTATTTACAAAAGATTTATAGTGTAGTTAGCATGTCAATGATAATCCCAAAATCCTCATCACTCATAATATCATACCTTAACTAGTTTGTCCCAAACTAATTAAACTACCTATCTCTTAATTATACAACCCTACTTCTTTCCCCTCAAATGCTCTAACATTTATTTCTTTCCAAAGAACCTAAAAAATAGTCAATGGAACCGAAGTAGTAACATTGTCATTGATTTTTAGCTCATACAAGCCCAAATTTCATCCCTAATGTTCCCAGCCATAACTTAATTAATTCCCAGCAGCCCATAAATTATACTCCACAAACTATAGGCCACGGGGCACCATAAAAGTAAGTGATTGAAAGATTCCTCTGCATACATACAAAGGTAGAATCTATTAACAATAACTTGCTCCCTCCTTTTTAATTTGTCTATAGTGAGAATGCTTCCCAAGCAAAAAAAGCCACTTTTTGAGGAACTTTAGAATTCCAAATTTGGTTAAAGGAAAAACCCAGTTGTTTTCCCCATCCCCGCCAAAAAGTACTCTGTAGTATGACTGAACAGAAAATTTTACCCTTTTTTCTAATTTCCAAAAGACCTGATCCGAGCCCTTTTTCACATTCTGCTTCTCCAAAGTTGACAAAAGCTCTTCATACTCTTGAATTTCCCAATCATTTAAGTGTCTTTTTGCTTCTCCAAAATTGAACAGCACTCTTGAATTACTTTGACTAGTAATTATAGCAGTTTAATGTAAAAAATGTCTTTTACATAAAAATTTAGAAGAAAAAATCTACATGAATATCCCATCAAGTTTTGACAAACGAGCATAACCAAATAAGATATGTAAACTAAAAAAGACTCTGTATAACCTTAAGAAATCTCCAAGATCATGAGTAATAAATTTGGGATTTAAACAAGCTGAATGAGACCTTTTTCATCAAACACTCAGAGACATAGGAAGTTACAGTTCTCCTAGTATAAGTTGATAACATTATTGTAATAAGAAATGATGAGAAGGAACAATGAACACTAAAACACCGCTACCAAAAGAATTCAAAATCAAGAAACTAGACAAGTTTAAGCATTTTCTGGGAATTGAAGATTGCTCGCTCTAAATCTGGAATTTTTGTTTCTCAACAGAAATACATTCATAATTTGTTAAAAGACACTGATAGATTATGATGCAAACCAGCCATCACTCTTATTGATCCTAATTAGAAACTGGAAATAATACAAAAAGATTATTCAATAAACATAGAAATGTATCATAAATTAGTCAGGAGATTGATATAACTATTACACACAATACTACACATTGGCTATACAATACATGTAATAAGTCAATTCATACACAATTCGAAAGAAGTGCACCTACAAGCAGCTTACAAAGTACTATAATACTTAAAATGGTCACCAGCAAAAAGAATTATGTTAAGGAAGAATGACAAATTACTCAAATTCTATAGTGATGCAGATTACACAGGGTCAGCTGTAGAAAGAAGATCTAACCAATCCATTGTACTTGACTACAACCTAGTGCAAAATCAAAATATAGTTGCAAGATCAAGTGCAGAATCATAACACAAGAAGTATATAAACTATTATGGATAAAAAAATCTAAGAAAATCTTCAAATCAAGTAGGAAAATCCTATGCGCCTATACTGTAAAAACAAATCGATATAGACATTGCTCACAATCCGGTGCAATATGACCGAAACAAAACATTGAGATTGATAGATATTTTATCAAAGAAAAACTCGATAACGGCTTAATATGTACGCCATACGTGTTCACCAATTCTCAACTTGTAAACATGTATCTAAAAGTGTAAGCAACCAAGATTCCAAACTCTAATTGGCAAGCTGGGAATGGAAAATATCTTTTCCTAAATAATGTTAAAGAGAACAAAAAAATCATAGTATTAAAAAGTAAGTAAATTAGGGTGTTATACAGGAAGTAAATCAGGATGTTAAAAATGAGGTAAATTAAGGTGCTAAAGAGCAAATAAATCAGAGTGTTAGAGAGGAAGCAAATCAGTTTAAAGAGTAAAATCACATCCTTTGTAATTAATTGTAATTAATTATCTATTTTCTTTTTCTTCACAAAAAGTATATTTATATAGAGTTGTAATATATATTGGAATACACATTAATCAAAAAATCATTCTTAACTGGTATTAGTTTAGAAAATTTCAATGATGGTCATGCATGTACCTCTCCATCAGGTGAGAAACTCAAAGCCGATATCATTGTTGTAACCACCATTTCTGATGTTCCTGAAAGCAAACTTGGAAGACCAGGAGGTCCACTTGCATCTAAGACCTTTAATTTGGTCACACTATGTAGGAAAAAAATAGACATAGTAAGCTGAAGTGAACACTCTCATATAGTTATGTAACAATAGATGACACAGACATCATAGGTTGAAGTAAATACACTTTAGTAGTTATATGACACTAGAAAACACAACACAACACACACATACTCACACAGTATAAGTTAGACATGAAATAAGCTCAAGCATTTGCAACAGGATAAGCATGGCATAAAAAAACATGAGTATGACGAGGTATAACCAAAAAGTTTCATCTGCAAACTTCAAATTGGAAATATTAAACACACACTCCCTAACACATAAATCTCTCAGTAAACCTTTTCTAATCCTCAAGAAATCATATGACTAAAGACATCTACTGCCAAAATAGAGAGAAATGAGAAGAAAGAATCACCCTACCTAACAGGCTAAGGAGAGCTGCAGACATCTTTTATTGTAGTGTCCATTTGTTTGTTTGTTGAGGAGCATGGTATATAAATCTTTGGGGATTAACTGGGTGATGTTAGGTACAATTAAGGAAGAGTTATGGGTGTGGGAGCATCTTAGAGACAGATGCATCTTTGCTGATATAATTCCACTCACTCTTATTTGGACTGTGTGGAGAGATAGAAATAAAAGAGCGTTCGAAGGATTTGATGATACAAAGGGTTTTGATGTACTGAAAAATAGATGGCTTAGGACCTTCAAATTTTTGCTTTTGGGTCATCCTCCGGTATTTTGTGAGACTCTCAGAGTTATGTTTTGTATGGAGGACTGAGCTGTAAACAACTGTATATATTTTGTACCTTTTGGTGGTTATACTAATACATATTTACATTTTTTATTTCAAAAAAGAAAAGGATTGCCCAACCTAACTCCATTAACCACAAACTTGGGACTTAGGTTTCCATTCACTATGACAAGAAAGTAGTCATGATGCCAACCTCTATCTATTGTCTCCAACAATCACCAAATCCCTTCCTTCTATCAAGGAATCCCTAATAAATCCTGTGATGCCTTTTTGGAGTCTAACTTGAAAACCAAATCTTCTTCCTTGTTTCTTCTCACACCCTTGACCGCTTGATTAGCATTGAGAATGCACAAAGGATTTATCTGCCAACAAAGCAATCTGAGTGACCAAAATAGTAGATGCTAACACTCACTCCCCTCTATCCCCTTTTTCCCCACAATCTCGATGGTAAGACCTGGTTATGGTCTCATCCGTAGTAGTCACCAAAAAATGGGGAAATATTAAAAAACCTAATAGGACGCCTTTTTAGGAAGTAAGGTGATAAAGATGGGATATGTGCTACCTATTTACCCATGAAGGTGGAATTCATCAAAGCTTTTATAGTTCTCCCTAACAAAGTCCAAGCATCTCTAGGAAAAAGCAATAAAAAAGCCATAAGTGCTGGAAACTTATCCAAACCTAGTTCCTAAACAGCTTACCTAACCATTGACTCCTTAAAAAGTCTCTTAAGACATGTAGCTTTACCAAGCTCTAAAGGGAGGCACTCCAAACCTTTGCTTGAAGGTTTATTACCATCTTCCTCCTTATAAAACCTCTTAAATACTAGTGTTGCACACAAATAGAAGTACAGTCCCTAACAATTCTACTAACCTTAAGATCCAGTTCCTTGATTAAATCTTGTCCCTCCTCTCAATGGCCACCTTATGAAAGAACATAGATTTAAACGTATTCATAGATAATCTTTTTGATTGATTTAAATCTAGATTTCCATCTTAAAATAATCTCTTCCCCTCAGGAGGACCTCCTCAAACTCATTGCTCAAAGACAAGCTGACTTGTTGATCCTCAGCATACCTCTTTTAGAAGCCAATCTATAAAGAAGACTAATTTGTTTAAAGAGAACATGCTTTCTCCCTCATATTCCCAAAACTCTCCTTACCCCATGCCTTCAACTTTCTCTTAAATGTAAGCTCCGTTTGTTATATAAACCATTTTCAAATTTTTGTTTCCTAATTCATGTGTTTATGCATGTTCTTTCTATGAAAACATATTAGTAGCGTGTATTTGAGAGTAGTTAAATATAAACAAAAGCAATTTTCTATAAACACCAAAAGTAAATTTTTATTCTTTCAAATTCTATCCTCAAAGTTCTAAAATATTGTTTTTATTTTTAAGTAAATATGAACAAAAGAAAATTACTATAAAACACTAAATATAACTTTTTATTCTTTTCAAATTCCATTCTAATTTTTCTAACTATTTCC